TTGGGAGAAGGGGTAATCGGGTACGTTCAGCCCGGAGCCACCTCGGGCTGATTTCCCCCCACCAAAGTGCTCGTTCAATGCATAGAAACGACTTGCATGATGGCATGCCGTGACCGGGAACCATGCATGAGGAACCATTAACCACCAGCCACTCAATAATCTGTCCACAGCAGTGTGTTAAGCCATAAATTCGAGGCACTCCACTGAGTCCACTGTATTGGAGAGAAACCGTAACGATCAACGTGCCCTTCACCGGGATTACCGATTCTTAGCGATCTTTTGTAGACCTGCCAGTAGGAGAAAAAAGAAAAAAAAGCAAAGAAACAACAAAAAAAAAAGAAAAAAAAATGAAACAAGCAGCTGACTACCGGTGTGTGTGTATGTTTAACAACGTGTCTTATTTTTTCCCCTCCCCGTCCAGCCGTTTTTGCACACTGGAACGGAGCTAAACCCGACGCTGCTCCGGCCGCGCGAGCTGCCGGCGGCCGAGCACGGCTCGCGGCCCCGTCGCCTCCGGGCCCTGCGCCCCTGGGTGCCCTTCAGTATTTAGCGTTAATTAATATCCCGCCACCATCCTGCAGCGCAGACACTTGATTATTATGATTATTATTATTATTACAGTCCTTTTTGAGGAGGTAAGTGCTAAGGGAAGGAGCACGTGCTCTCCGTTGGCGCGCTGGGTCTCCCGCTGGCACCTGGGCGCCGCATGGGTTCCGTTGCCTCCCGCTTCCCTCGCCACACACGCCTGGGGTTCGTTGTCCCCCTCTTTTTCCCCGTCCCGAAGCACCGCAGCGCCGGGCGCCTTCGCTGTCCCGCCGCCCGCGGGCCCCGCACCGCCCTCCTCGCGCTTCACCGGCCCCGGCTTCGTTAACAGGGGCATTTACCGCCCTAATTAAGGCTCCCCCTAACAGAATGGGGGGGAAATGACCCCGGCCGGGACCCCCCCGGGGGGACAGCGAAGGGCACCCGCCACCATCTGTACAGGCTACCTTGTAAACAGCACAAAACCGAGGCAGAGCTGAGACGCGTGGTTGAACTTTTTAAGAGAATATTATAAATACTGTAATATATCATTTTATTTTATCGGCATGCCTTTTTGTAAATACAAAGGACTACAAAAAAAGAAAAAAAAAGAATAGAATGGCTTCTGGCTTATGCCATTGTCCATGTTTATTTTTATTTTTTTAATATTTTTCCTTTTTCCTTAGACTTTAGATAGCCAGGAAATGTCCCGTTCCCCAGCACCACCACCAAGGGAAAGAAAACCCTGCCCCAAACTAGATGCGGAAGAAAACCAAGCTTCACTGCAAACTACCTTTGCAGCAGCAAAACCCCCTCGTTTTGGGTTCCAACGTGCAATAAGCTGACCACTTCTATGCAAGATTTGGCTAAACTTCATGATTGCTCTTAGGCTCCGGCTGCTCCGCGGCCCTTCGGCGCGCGCTGGCACTCCCATTAGCTCCTCGGTTCCTCCAAGAGAAAGAAATCCCTTCCAACTCTGTATATATATTTATTTTTTTAACATGAGATCCGTACTGAGCACCAGAGGCCGGCACAGCCGCTCGGAGCCGCGCGGATTTTCCGGACGGTTCCGAGGGCTCCGTTTCCAGCCCTCGGGTCCTCTCCAAAGGCTCCGCAGGGAATCGGGTTGGGAAGGACGAGGCGAAACCCCTCAGCCCAACTGGCTCCCGGCCCCGCTGCGTCCTGCCCGGCCCTCCGAGCGGAGGGGAAAGCGGGGAAAAGCAAAGGAAAATCAGGAACGCCAATCCGAGCTGCTTTGGTCACTTTTCCTGTTCACCTTTTTTTAAAATAGAGAAGCCAATGTTGAACAAGAAAAAAAAAGAAAAATAAAACCGTGATACGCCAGAGAGGCCACTCCCGACTTCGAGTTATTTAATTTTCCGCCGCAAAAAAAATAAAAAAAAAAAAGTAAACAAAAATTGTTAAAGCTGTAAAAGATCAATAGTGAAGATTAGTGTATTAGAAATTGCATGGTGGCTCATACCGATCTTACCCAACATGGTTAAACAATTGCGTTACTATAAGCCAAAAGAGAATAAAATAAACGTTACCCTTTTCACTGAACGAGGTGGGGGTGTCTCGGTGTCCCAGTTCTTCGCCCGGTTGCTCCGCTGTCCCCTCCAGCAGCTCCGCGGGGTCCCCGCGGGGAGCAGGGAGCAGCCGTGGACCACGGCGTTGGGTTGCGTTGCGGGCCGCGGCTGCCTGCAGCGCTCGGGTGCTGCAGCAGGACGCGAGCCCCGTCACCGCGCCGGGGACAGAGGACCCTCGGGTTCTGGCTCCTGGCAGCTCCATGAGGTTTATTGGGTGTCGCTGTCCCGCGGGACCCCGCGGCGGCTGCGGCTCCGTCCCGGGCGCAGGGCGCAGGCGGCCGCGGTGAGGAGGAGGAGGGCGACAGAGCCCGCGAAGCCGCCCAGGACACCCGAGAGCAGGGGCCAGACCCAGCCCAGGGGGCTGCGGGCGTCGGGGGCGGCCGGGGGCCCGGGGGGCCCGCGGTCCCTGCGCGCCCGTAGCCCTCCACGTTGCGCCGCAGCTCCAGGCTACGGTCCTGGTTGAGGTTCTTGCCCAGCTCGCGGGCGGCGTCGGCGCGGCCCACGCGCCGCAGCCCCCGCGCCAGCCGGTCCCAGGGTGCCACACGCAGCCGGCGGTGCAGGGCGCCCGCGCAGCCCCCGGGCAGCTGCAGCGCCGCGGGTGCCATCGGCGCCTCCGGCTCCGCGTCGGCCTCCGGCCCCACGTCGGCCTCGGGTGCCGCCAGCAGCACCAGGAGCTGCCGGCACTCGCTGGGCGACAGCAGCCGGGCCAGGCGCTGCACGGCGTGCGGGCCCAGCACCGCCGACGCCGCCTCCTCGGTGCCGCCGCGCGCCGCCAGCAAGAGCAGGGCAAGCGCCGCTGCGGCCGGCAGCGCCCGGAGCACCCGGCGCCCGCAACACGATGGGCACCGCATTGCCCTGAGCGCCTGGCACCCGCAACACGATGGGTTCCCCATCACCCTGAGCGCCCAGCACCCAGAACCCGGCGGGTTCCCTATCGCCATGAGCACCCGATGCCCAGAACCCAACGGGTTCCCTATTGTGCCGAGCGCCGGGCGCCCACAACACAATGGGCTGCCCATCGCCCTGAGCGCCCAGCACCCAGAACACGATGGGTTCCTCATCGCCCTGAGCGCCTGGTGCCCAGAACCTGCTAGATGCTCCATCACTGAGAACCCAATGGGTTCCCCATGGTCTTGAGTGCCCCGCACACCGAACCCAATGGGTTCCCCATTGACTCAAGTGCCTGGCACCCAGAACCTGCCAGATGCTCCATCATCTAGAACCTGATGGGTTCCCCATCGCCCCAAGTGCCCAGCACCCAGAACCCAATGGGTTCCCCATTGTCCTGAACCCCTGGCACCAAGAACCCAACATCTTCCCCATCATTCGGAGCTAGAACCTCCTCTCCATCCAGGAGGATGCAGAAGGCTTGGGGGGCAAAGCTGAGGTTTTGGGGCTCTTCCCCTTGCAAGACCCCCCCTAAACCTCTGCAATAACCCCCCCATTTTAGCCCCTTCCAAACCAGGCAATAACACCAAGAAGCAGGAGCTCACGGGCCAGGTTTCAGGTAATCTCTTTAATACTGTGTAATACTTTTCTTTTTAAAATACAGTACTTCTTGAGGTAGACCATTACAGCTCAAAATCATTTCTTTCTCAGACATTAATAAGACATGAATTAAATACTTTCATGTACAATATGTTGCAAAATGAGGTAGAAATGGTTACAGAGAGTGTACAAAGTCAAATATGATATTAATAATAATAATAAAAAGTCTTCAGGTTACCCAGTACCACTTTTTGGAGGAAGGGAGAGGAGGTGAAGGGAGAATCCCAGAGTTTTAGGCTTTTTTTGGATACAATCCCGGAGCAACGGCCTCCTTTGGTGCGTGCGCGGACCCTGAGCTTGCGGCAGCCGGCGCTGCAGAGCCCGGGCAGAGCTCGTGCCCTGCAACCCTGAGACGGCGCCTGCAGCTTTAGCGCCTTTTCTACCCGGAAAGCGCCGGATTTGCCATTTCAGCCCTGTCCTGACGCCAGCAGCAAAAATAAAAATTAAAAAATGCCCTGCACGAGTTTCTTTTTTTCAAAATATTAAAGCATATGAAAGGCAACAAAACCCTGCAGATTTTATGGCCAAAAAAAAAAAAAAAAAAAGGAAAAAACAGGGAAAAGGCAGCGGGAGGTGGCTGCGGGAGCAGGTGGCCGGGGCCAAAAAGTGGTGCTGGCGACAGCTTTTACACTACGGCACTAACACGCTTTCCGTCGAAGACACGTTACTCCACCAAACACTACTATAACAATGTTTCTTTATAAAAAAAATTAAAATTAAAATAAAATTATGGCATAATATATGTGAAAAGCACCTGAAATACATTCAACTTTCATCTTTGTAACAACTTCAAGTTTTTTTTTTTTTCTTTCTTTCTGTCTTCTTTCTGTCCATCACCCTTTTTGGAAGCAAATACCTGACACAGCTTTGTCTTAAGTCTGCAAAAAAAAGCTCTTAAAAAAAATCTCCTTTTCCTTTTCCGAGAAGATAAAAAGAGTTTTTTTTTTAAAAAAAAACACATTCATTTTTTTTTCTTTTCGTTTTCTGAGGTAATTATTTTCCTGAGTAGTTAAAAAAAAGGAAGCAAAACGGAACGGAAATCCTACATACCTTACAAAAATAAAAATGAGGTCTAGGGTATTAAACACTCTACATCGTTGCACCCCCAAGACCCTCCATCCTGGGTCCCGCCTCCCCACGAGAGAAGCCCCTCGGGGCGCAGGATGAGTCCGTGACGGCGCCCGAGGGGGAAACGGCTGCGGGCGCCGCATCCAGGAGAAGGGGAAATTCCCATGGGAAGCAGGGGGGGACGGAGCGGAGGCGGGAGGCTCGCGTGGCCGCCGCGGGCCGTTAATAAATAGATTCTCCTGAGCGGGGCGGCGCGGCGGGAGCGGGCGGCGCTCAGTGCCGCGAGCCGTACAGCTTGTCCCACTCGGCCAGCAGGTCGAGCTCGGAGGCGGAGGCGGCCGGGCGCACCTTGCCCAGGGCGCTCTCCAGGTCCTCGAAGGAGGCGGCGCGCGGCGGCCCGCGCAGCGCGGCGGCGCCCGCCTGCTGGCACAGCTGCAGCAGCTCGCCGCCCGAGAAGCCCTCGGTGCGCTGCACGAGCGCGGCCAGCTGCCGCTCGCCCAGCCCGCAGCCCTGCCGCGCCAGCGCCTGCTGCAGGATGTGGCGCCGCGCGGCGCCGTCGGGCGGCGGCAGGTAGAAGCGGCGGGCGAAGCGGCGCCGCGCCGCCTCGTCGAGCGCGCCAGGCCGCCGCGTGCTGCCGATGACCAGCACGCGCCGCTCGCCCGCGCTCGCCGCCGCCTCGTCCAGGTAGGAGAGCAGCTGCGACTTGAGGCGGCCGCCGTCGGGCGCCGCCAGCAGCGCGTCCGCCTCGCTGATGAGCACCACGGCGGGCTGCCGGCAGCTGGCCGCCACGAAGACGGCCCGCAGCACCGTCTCGGCCTCCGCTTTCCACGTGGAGAGCAGCGCGGCGCCGCTGAGCCGCAGCAGCCGCCCGCCCAGCTGCGTGGAGATGCAGCGGCTCAGCAGCGTCTTGCCGCCGCCGCGCGGCCCGAAGAGCAGCACGGTGCGGGGCGGCCGCCCGGCGCCGCCGTACGCGCCGGGGCGCAGCATGGGCCACACCAGCTCCTCCTCGATGGCCGCCTTCAGCGAGAGCGGCCCCGCCACGTCGGCCCACTGCACGGGCGGGCCGCCCTCCAGCACCATCTTGCCACCGTCCGACAGCTCCAGGGCGAGCGGGTCG